ACGTGCGTCACAAGAGTGCTTTGGACACTAAACCGCTTGTGACAAATGTCACATTCATATGGTCTCTCACCAGTGTGGGTCCTGACGTGAATATCAAGAACATGTTTCAGGCTAAAACTCTTATTACAAATGTCACATTCATACGGTTTCTCGCCAGTGTGGATTCTAACATGCCTGACAAGATCACTTTGATCACGAAACCGCTTGTGACAAATGTCACATTCATATGGTCTCTCACCAGTGTGGATTCTGACGTGTTTCACGAGATGATCTTTAATACTGAACCGTCTATGGCAAAGGTCACATTCATAAGGCCTTTCACCAGTGTGTGTCTTGATGTGCCTAACTAGAGTGATTTTCTTTGAAAAACATTTCTGGCACTCATCGCACTTGAATGTTGGTTTTCCGCCCTGAACATGCCCTGTGACCAATCGGTTCCTCGGCTTCCGCTGCACTCGGTCCTCAAGCTCCTCTGGGCCGCTTTTGTCGTCGGCCTCCCCCTCTTCCCCACTGCCGCCTTCCTGACCGCCATCCTCGGGTTGCTGCTGCAGGGCCTCGCCATCCTGCCCGTCGCCCTCAGGGTGCTGCTCGAGATCTTCGTCGTCCTGGTGTTCGTCTTTTCCTCCGCCGCGGCTCGCGTAGCTCAGGCGGGGCGAGTAGCTCCGCGTCACCACCAGCTGGCCGTCCTCGCTACTGCCTGGACTTTCCGGACCGTCGGCTACAGTTACTCTCCGCTGCAGTGTGACCTTCTCGTCCGCGGCCACTTGATGCGCCCGGTGCAGCGGGTGAGTGGGGCGCGGGGGGCGATCGGTGTGGGTCGATCCTTTCGGTGTGTCGGAGTCGGCGCCTGCAACAGCACAAGAAGAAGCAGGGAACGTTAGCAAGGTAACATAGTGTTCTTTACCATCGATTACGTTTCATTTTTGCTAGTGACAAAATGGCAACATGACATGTCAGCTAGCGCACCTTCTGGGCCAACGTCGTTCACGCAGAGCTCCTCGTGGAGAGAGGTTTTCTCGTCCACGGTCTCCTGCTT